CCGCAGAAAATAAGACCTAGCACAGATTTTGCTGAATTGCGAAATATAAGACCTCCCCCTGAAAGTAAGACCTAGCGAAGTTTTTTTAGTCGTAACGGTCATCGACAGATGGTTGAAAGTGGCCGTTGGCTTTTTCAAAGTACAGCCACTGATTGGTCAGCAGACAATTACGCCACGCGGCATGATTTGCATAAGACTATGGCTTGGGAATCACAGATTTGCATAACGTTACAGCTAGTGATGGCTAATTGGTCGGCCGGGAATCACGCGAAATTACATTTGCATAGTGCTACAGTTCAGTAAGCACTAATTGGTCATCGAGTCTGATGTTGACGCTATAAAAAGGCGACAGTTCGACACACCGGATGTACGTCACTCTCGTCTAAGTTCGACTTAAGAATTTTTTTGTTTAATAACGAATGTGAATCCTTCTTCCTGGAAAAAATAAGACATTCCCTAAAAATAAGACCTAGGCCCTTTTTCAGAGCAAAAATTAATATAAGACACTGTCTTATTTTCGGGGAAACACGGTAATAGAATGTTTGTCTCTCTCTATTCTTAGTTTCGTCGATCTGCTCCAATATTTTCAAGCTTATTCTCTGGGACCCTGAGAACAATATAGACTTCCAGAAATCTGGACACTTCATTCTTCTCCTGATTTCATTTCCTTGACACTTCGTGATAAAGATATATCGTAACAATGATAGGCTAAAATAACCAAACCTGTAATATCGTTTTCATTTTAACGTTTATATCTGCACCTTTTGGCCGGTCAGTAGTGTGTACAATCTTACTTCTGGGACAGATCTTAATGTGAGATAACAAAAACCGTCAAAGAAATCGCTCAAAATCAAGCAAAAAGACTCAAAATTGTAGTATTTTTGAAATCTCCCAATTTCACTTTTTATCAAAAACATCAAAAACCATAAACACTCGAAATTTTAAATTCCCCAAATCTCAATATTTCGAAACTAAAAAATTTCAAGGACAGATCTCGTGGGAGATTTCAAAATTCACTAAAAAAAACTTAGAAGAAAACTATCCCCTAATCGCCTTATTTTGAGATGAAAAATATTTACCACCTTTTCTAACGCACCCAAGAACCATAGTTTAAGCAACATATATTAAAAAATAAAAGAGTTTTTAAGCATAAAAACCCTCAAAAATATTATCTCTCTCCCCGAAAAGATAGTATTCTTTCTACTACATTTGTGGACCATCCCCAATAGGGAGATAAAATAAAGTAACACTACTTCAAAACGTTCTCCTCCCGACCGAAAAACGACTGTTTAAAAAATCGGGAGATTATTTTATTCACGCAATATTTTATAGAGCAACCCGAATTAGCAGCTGAAAAAATCAGTAACCAACCATCAAAAAATGAGATACACTAAAAAAAATCTTGAAAACCTCAATAATTTAAAGAGAAAATAAGAAAAGTCTCTAGGATTCCTTGGAGAACTCTGGATTGGGAATAGAAAAGAATACTAAAATCAATATTTATAAAATATGGTATTTTTATTTCTAAACCAGAAAAAAATCACATGACATACGTATCTTGAATTTTATTTTGTATGTAGTCAAATTCCAATAAAGACAAAAATCATGACTTTTTAATGAAAATTTCACGTTTTTATAGCATTCAACGTCACAAATTAGTGTCAATCTTTTGTTTACCATGAAAGCGCGATTTTCAATCCTTTTGCAACTTTTTACAAACATGGTTTTTTTTTAATTTGTAAAGACGAAAACAAGAAACTCAAAACCATCAAGTAATTCACCAAAAACCCATCTGGATGCATCACGTTCTTCTTGAATTATTTTTAATAATTCTGTATGATCTACGTGGTAATTGGTATTGATGCTACCATGAGAATCAATTACAGCATTTTGTTCCATGTAGGGCAAACAACAATTTTCAATCACCTCACTGGCATATTTTTCAATGACCTTCCGATCGCATATTGATGAAGTAGCTCTTTCTAGTGCTCGAATGGCGTAGGGGTGTGACGTCACTAATCCACATACATTATAATCCCCATTGTTAAGGATAGTACTTATCAATCTTGTTGCTATTCTTTTGTGTCTAACTAATTGAGAAGTAACAAGCTGCGTAATCCAACAGACTTTACCTAGGTTTTTGGTGCTAAATTCGTAGTAAAATGCATGACCAATTAACTTTGATGATTCACACATTGATTTAGCGATTGCAGCACCACACTTTTCACTATTAAACAACAGCATCTTTTTCATCAGTTTTACACTCATCTTGATAGGTTGACCTGGATGAAGACCCTTGTTGCTCCATATTCCGTAATTGGTAGAGAATAAGTTGGACATTTCAACAAGCAGGTCATCATTTTCGAGCAGTTCAACACCACTAATAACATTAAACGAGTTCATCGTCTGATGCCAATGACTGTAACATAAAAAAAAATTAATTTTATTTAGTTAGACATAAAATACGGTAGGTACTGTACGTTTGGTTCACACGAAACCGATTTACATTTCAATTACGCTGGAACCCCCATTAGAGGATATACAGTACCTCCGTTTCTTACCATCCTTGCCTCCTTGGTATGATAGTCTGGTATGCAACGGAACCTCGGAATTTTTGAAAATCTTAAAAATTCTTAAGAGCTTAGCAGCTCTACGTCATATTTAATTTGGTAATTATACAGTTAAGAGAATATGAGTTTTTAAAATTATTTTATATTAAAAGAAGGAATATTTAATAGACATTCAGAAAACGCATAACATTTTCCCGGACGACCCGTATATAAAGTGCTATAAACAAAAATTCACAGGACTACTTGCCGATTGTGGTCCGTTCAAGACGCCATCGTTTAAGCTTGTTTTCGTCGCGGGGCGGCACATTGGACGGCGGAAGCGTCGCGCGACATTTCTCGGTGCAAACCGGTTACGTGACTACTCACTGGTCTCCGCCACGCCCCGTGTTTTCTGATAACTTATTCTTCTCGCAGAAGATTTCGCTGACATCATTAATAGAAATATTAAAACATCATTCCATTTTAAATATGGATTAAAATCAACATATAACAACGTATGATAATTCGATAAATAACTAATAATTCCACTGTGCTTTTAAATAGCCTAATCTCTTCCATGTCTTAAGCAAAACTAAGTTTTATTTACATCATCCTTTCTCAAAGTGGGCGATAACGCCCCCTTGTGGGCGCTGGAGGCTTTCAGGGGACAGTAGAAGGCTCAGTGATTAAATATGAGTTTTATTTCTTCTCATTGAAACATTCTTTTTTCTCAGATATAGGATATGGGTCACACCCTATCTATCCTATCCATATAATAATGCATGTTTAAACATTATATTTGCAATAACTGTTTTTAAGACATCTTTTTACATTACCTGTTGCGTAAGTTAAAAAATATGGGAGCACTAGATTTTTTTTAATCTGAAAGTGGGCGGTGGTTGAAATAAGTTTGAAAACCTGTGATTTACATCAAGACAATAGACATCTTATGTTGCATCTGACTAATATTTATCATCATAATATATATCAAGCAGTGGCGTGCCGTGACATTTGATGATAGGGAAGCTGTGTTTCTGTAAGAAGCCGACATCCAGGGGCAATCAGTCAATTGCGCGTCAGCAATGGTCTAGGGTCCATTCGTATCGTTTATTCGATAAGCCAGTAAAAACCGTAGACTTCTTTAAATGCATCTTTAATATCACAATTACATTCCGAATCGCTAGCCAAGATTTAAGGGCTACAATTAAAAATAAAATAACAAAAACTAACTTGGTAAAATAAAATGTGTGATGGATATACACATTTGTGATGGATATACACATATACATACCTGGTACAAAATATTCTTCAATTGTATGAATATACTTTTAAAGATAATTATAATTAAATATAGCTTTGTAAAGAAACGTACATAAAAATAACATAAAATCTTCTTTACTTTTTAAATCTTAAAACAATCCATTTCGTCAAATTGCTCCCTACGAGTGGAATCAGAGACAGTCCTGCTAGGTGTGCGGTGCGTGCATGCACGCGGGTTGCCAAATCCCGAGGGTGCCGATACCCGTCAATTTCAAATGCCTCTTTTGTCGCATCACTAATATACCTCAAAAGACGCGACAGGGTTCTTGTAGATTTTAAACTTTTCTCGTCATACCTGTAAAAATCTAAATATGTTAAACTTAATAGATTGTCCGTCATTTGTTTTCTAACTAATTCGTTTTAGGACCAGGTGTTGTCCACGGAAATTTCCAAAATTTACAACTTTTTGGTCACTCTCGTCGAACTGGGAAAATGTCTGTCTTTATTACATCTAATATTTTGAAGAAATCAGTCTCCACTGTACTCGACTTTAGATTGGTTCAGTTAGGCTTTTGTTTAAATAAAATTTCGGCTCTTTCATCAGGGTTTTGTTTATGTCCCCAATTCTCTAATCGCTTAATTATTTAACTACTTCTTAAGTACAGTAGAAATAAGTCGAAACCGGTTACTTTGTACTCGAATATTTGTAGTCTCGGGAAAAAAGTGGAAAGACAAATTTTTATGACAAACGGATATATAAATTGTAAATGTAAGTAAAATATATTCTAGAGCTTTTTCTGTACCTGGTGCATCTCTCTCATTCGTTAAATTTAGTTGTAAATGATGCTACGAAAGTAACGGTTGAATTTTTAACATTATACAAGAATTGTACACTTTTTTTCATCCCCTTAAAGATGGGATATACGAAATCGTAATATCACTGGTTTAACATCGAAATCCGTGAGTAATATAAAATCGAAGAGCGGAATAAAAATATCAAATATTTTAATGGATTTTTTTAACTTCTGTCAACTATACAGAAATATCATAAAAATATACCAGTAAATTCTTATCGGTTGGGTTAAGTTATAAATCTACTCGTGATTCGCGTAATCGAGCGAGGGCAACCAAATATCTAGCGGGCAGGTGGCTAACAGCCCAGAGCCGGTCCTCGATAGAATTGGATGCGGTCGGTATACGTGTAGCATCCACCAAGGTCCTAGTCTTCCACCAGCTAAACTGGGTGAGGTTGGTGCTCTGTAAAGCGCATGCGCGAATCTGGTTTTTTGGATGCTGACGATACAGCGCTTCCACTCCACCACTAATATTCGAATAAAGTGGGTGATCGCTTAACGAACAGATCGGTTAACGAACACTTTCGCGAAAGATTTTTATGATCGGACAACGAACACATATTCGGATAACGAACACTTGACTGAACAAACACAAGAAGAAGCGACGTAAAATAACGAATACCGATTGGTCTTCCTTTGTCTTCAGGCAACAATTCGAAAATTTTTGGAGCGCGGAAGACGTCGACATCGACGTTCTACCCAGTATACACTGATCGGATAGTATTCCCCCGAACTTTGAAACTCTCCCTTGTAATTCCAGCCTTTTATATTTCTGACAGAAACAATTCTTTTACGTTTTCTTCTGAAAATGCGGATTTATGCCGATATCTGCTATTAAAAATCTTTTGAAGAAGTGGGAGGATGTCATAACAACGGTTTTAAAATGGCATCCAAACCAGGTTGAGGTTAATAGGCCTAGGGATCTCTACAATTACAATGCTATTAATTACTTTTGAAAAATCATNACTCGCGATTCACGTAATCGGGCGAGGGCGGCCAAATATCTAGCAGGCAGGCTGCTAACAGCCCAGAACCGGTCCTGGATAGAATTGGATGCGGTATACGTGTAGCATCCACCCAAGGTCCTAGGCTTCCACCGGCTAAACCGGGTGAGGTTGGTGCTCTGTAAAGCGCATGCGCGAATCTGGGTTTTTAGATGCTGACAATACAGCGCTTCCACTCTGCCACTAATGTTCGAATACACAATAGCAATCTTATTTTTTTTTCACATGTAGTATAGAAATTTGTAATAAGATACATAATGCGGTTATAATAAAATATTGTGCGATTAGTTTCATATAATTAAAATTAATATGTATTTATTTTTTAGAAAATACAAGGAAAGCGGCGCATCCACCGCTTCCTTTGACGGCACCCCACTGATATCAAGATAGAATTATTATCGTTAGCGAGTGGTTTTACCTTTGTTGTTTCATATGGTCATTCATTATTTATTATCATCATCATCATGAAACACGTCAAAATCTTTGACGTGTTTCATGATGATGACGTGTTCAGAAAGCACCGAGAAATGCCGCGTGACGCTTCTGCCGTCCAATGTGCCGCCCCGCGACGAAAACAAGTTTAAGCAATGGCGTCTCGAACGGTCCACAATCGGTAAGTAGTCTTGTGAATTTTTGTTTATAGCACTTTATATACGGGTCGCCCGGAAAAATGTTTGCGTTTTCTGAATGTCTATTAAATATTCCTTCTTTTTAATATAAAATAACTAGTAGCCCGGGACGCTCCCTAGTGGGCGTTCTTTACAAATTCCCATGAGGCACGTTCGATGAAAGTTTTACGCGCTTAATTTTTAAAAGTTCAAATAAAAATAATTTATTGTTCAACAAAAGTATGAGGTAGTCCTATCGTACGGTAGGAGACACGACGATAATTAAAAATAATTATTTAGTGTTGTTAAACATTCTATAAATACTATAAAATAGTTTGTTTATTTACCTTCGCTGGTAACCCTCGATTACAGTGGTTAGAATATATAGTGTGTCGTTCACTATTATATCTCTACAATAGTTAGGTTCTCACTTTTACGCCTCACCAGATGGCACTCGCATCGGTTGTAATGTTACATAGATCAGTTTAGACAAAGCATTTTGAGTGGTTTTTCGTTTGTTTTTTACTTTGTGTAGAACGATTTTCGTCCCATTTTTGAAAAAACAAAAAACAAAAAAATAAATGTCTGAAGTTTATAAAAATAAGAACTTACAAAGGCATTTTTTTGTACCTGGTTGCAAAACTGGAATTAAAGGACAAACGTACATTATTTTCGGCTCCAAAAGATGAAGAGCTTCGAAAAAAATGGAGTAAGTTAATTCCTCGTGTTGATAAAATTTTTGATGAATATTGTTGTATTTGCGAGCTTCATTTTGATGAGCAGTTTATTGAACGGAAGACTTCCATGAAGTGAATTTACCATCTACGTATTGGTCTAATTTAAGTAGTTTCAAAATTCTCCTAAGATTGTTATTTTTGCAACTTGGAATTTAAAAACTGAATTTTAAAGTATTTTAACTTCAAAGTTTGGATGTATGGCCTTAAAAGCTTGCTTGATGGATCCAGGTAAATTTGTCATCATGAAAGAAAATGCTGAGGGTTTAATTTCTTGTACTGTAATTGTTGGAAGCACTATTTTAAAACATTACAATGTTTTAGAATCAATTACTACATTAGAGAACATATTACAGGAAACAGATAAAATGTATGAATGTCAGGGAATAGGCCAAATAACTGAATTTAATGGACTTGTAGATATAGTTCCAAAAAACATTTTGACTAAAAGTTCTTTCATTTATTATAACATTTTTAGGAGTCAAAAATGTTCAAGTGTTGCAAATCAATCCTTAAAAACGTATTTATCACATAAATATGTAAGAAAAACTCTACTGGATAAAATATCAAAAACCAAGAAGAAAAAAACAAACCAGTCAAATCAACAGAAAAAAATTTTAAAATCTCTACAAGAAGAATAAAAATTTTAATGAAAAAAAAACCAAAATTTGAATGAAGAAATTAAAGAAACAAAAACAAATATCATCATTTGCTTGTTCACTTAGCAGTAAGCTTGAATACAGTATCTACCATTAAAACAACAGTTTAAGGAATGTCAGGTCTTCTGAACAAAAAAGTACTAAAGGAATGATGTATGATGAACAGTGACTGCTAAAATACATCATTATGAGAATGAAGAGTTCACATTTATATGAACACATGCGCATAAATAAAATACTAGTTTTATCAAGCAAAACTTGTATTAAAAAATATTTTAAAAATTTTAAGGCTGGTTTTGGATTTAATGTAAAAGTATTTGTTGCTCTTAAAGAAAAGACACAATATTTAAATTCTTATAGTAAACATGGTAATCTCCTATTTGATGAGATTAAATTATCTGAAGGGTTACAAATTATTTGTGGATCTTCATTGTGGATCTTTTACAACAAAAGAAATGAAAGAACAGATGTGTGATCATGGCCTTGTACTATTATTTCAGCCTTTTGTAGGAGATTGGGTTCAAATTGTAGGAGTATTTGGAACACGTAAAAATGTTAAAGGAAATATATTAGCAAAACTTTTAATAGAAGCTATTATTCAAATAGAAAAAGCAGGCTTATATGTTGATTCTGCCACAGGAGATGGAGCAACATGGAATAGATCTATGTGGAAAGAATTTGATATTGGTGTTAATAATAATGTGATACAATACAGAGTAATTCACCCCTATGATGAATCCAGATTTTTGCATTTTATTTCAGATTTTCCTCATCTTATAAAATGCTTAAGAAACTGTTTTCTTAAAATTAGCATATTCAATACTCCAGATGGTAAAATTAATTTAGACTTTCTTAAAATGGCTTGGAAGGAAGATCAGAAGACTGTATCATTAAGAGCCATGCCAAAAATATTTAAAGTTCATTTCTTTCCTGATAATTTTGAAAAGATGCATGTGAGTTATGTTTCAGTTATTTAACACTGAAATTTCAGTTATTTAACACTGAATACAGAGAGACCTTTTAATATTTCAGTGTTAAATAACTTTCAGTAAATATATTTCAGTGTTAAATAACTGAAAGTTATTTAACACTGAAATATTAAAAGGTCTCTCTGTATAAAGATACCCTTGCACAATATGGTGATTCACAACCAACAGTTAACTTTATTGCATGCATTGGAAAATTATTTAAAATAATGACATCACATGCATATAAAGATGCATTATATAATAATTCAAAAGAAGTTGATTTTTTGGATTTTATTAAAAAATGGGAAGCTCTTTGTGAACCAAAAGGTTTTGGATGTATAAGCAAAAGTACATCAGATGGATTAAAAATCACAGTGAAAAGTACTTTGTCTATTTTAGAATATCTATCAAGAGAATTAGGATATAAATATTTGATGACAGCAAGATTAACTCAAGATAAGTTGGAAAATCTCTTTAGTATCATTAGACAATCCAAGGGTTGTAATGACCATCCTAATCCTGATGAATTTTTAACTATTGTGGAATGTTTGAGATTTTACAATTTAGCTAAAACACCAAGAAATAGCAATTCTTTTCCCAATATTATTAGCTCTTTAATATGTCCAAAACAAACAGTTTATGAAGAATGATCAGTCCAGATTTTTTAGAATTGATAATTTTCTTGAAAGTGAAAAATTACTAAAGGCTAATGAATGTTTAAAATGTGAGAAACTAGAACACTCAGATATTGTTCATCAACACAGTAATTTGCAATTAATTTATTATATTTCTGGATATGTGGTAAGAAAGTTTTTACCGAAAACATCCTGCACCGATTGTAAAAAGTGTCTTGATGCAAAATCTATTAATGCAACTGATATACATCCAGAATGTGCAGGTTTTACAAAGGAGTTTGATAAAGGAGGATTGACTAGTTATTGATCCACGGTAGTTAGTTCTTGAACAAAGTAAAAAAAAAAAAGGAAACGTCTACTAAAAATATAGTTAATCTAACTGAAGCGCAACCATTTTTGTCACCATAGTTAACCAACGCAAGATTTCTGATTGCACTATTATGGCGAAAATATGGCAGAAATCTAGGACAAATGTACGCGATTGGGACTGGAAAACAGCTGTAGAGCCTATCGATAGGAACAAAAAAGTCAATGGAACCATGCCCGTACGGGCGACCCTTCGCGAGATATAGGCTCCCCCAAATGCCTATAGGTGAACTTTTTGAGATTTGACGATAAAATAAAAAAAACATTCGTACTTTCCCAACAATAACTTTAATCACAGAATAAATGTTTTCGGTCAATTTACAGGCCTGTAAACTGATCGAAAATAAGGATGGCAAGACTCAAAATACATGAGTAAACTGTAATTTACTAAAATGTCGAGAACACTCATCTGCAAAGTAGATTGCAACGAATTATGCAACAAATAATCTTGCCAAGACAGACTATAAAAAATTAATTTTTCTATATAATATTCTTAATAGTTATTGATTTGCTATTTCAAAGGATTTATTAAACTACAATTATTTAATTTGAAAGTTGACTAATAGATTTCTTTATTAAGCCAATACGTACTGCACATTAATAATAATATAATAGATAAAGAATGCCTACATCCCACAGTTCAGAAAGTAGACTAGAGAAACAAATTAAAATACTGTATTAAAAACAGATAATAAATTTATCATCGAAAATAGCATAAGGAAAAGTTAAAACTACTTTTAAAACATCTTTTAAAACAGAAAAACAAAAATCAAACTGATGAAGGATACTGATGAACCCAAAATGTACATATTAGTTTAATAAAGAAATTTCAGTAAACTTTCAAATTAAATAACTGGTTCGATAGTTCTTTGGAATAGGAAAATTAATATTATTTTTCCTATTTTTATTATTTAAGGATTAACATGTCTAGATTATAATAATAAGTATTAAAACTTTATCACCGAAAAGGGATATTTTAAAAAACTTCTAGAGACTCAATTTTTACCTAGAAGTAGATAAATTTAATTATTATAAAGGAAGAAACAAAAATTTATTTGAAAAAAATCAAATATTTCGTTTATTTGGGTCTCTACTTAATAAAAAACGATGAAACACCATTTTGCATTTTTATTCAAATAATATATTTATAAATAATATGTAGCCCAAAAAGTAGCCGATGCGCTAAATGATATTTTTTATGTCTTTTAACTAAAAAACGTATAGTCAAATTTGGCGCAAAATAGCCATATCCGGCAACTGAACTGAACTGAACTCTTATTAGCGCTCAAGATGTCGCACGATCGATTTCAAGGAAACAAGTGAGCGCGAATTCTATAACAAGAAGTCTCAAGAATCAATCTATCACGTCTCTTTTTGAGCAACGCTCTTAAATAGCCTTTTAGTAGGACGGCGCTACATTGAAGGATCAATGGGAACACTTACACACCAGAAAATCGGACCATGGAATAATTCTACCGTTACAAAGTAAAGCATGCATGGCAAATATAGCCGTTGCTATAGTAATCCGAATCCTATTGGAGCAGGAGCATTAAGTTGAGAACATGAGCTATTGCCACGTTTAAGCAACCTATGTTTGACCCGAAACCACTAGCAAAGAACTCGATGCACGTTTGCTTCAGTATTAAAGAGCTCGTAATTACACACAAATCGTTCGAAGGAAAACGGCAAGCCAGTCACAATGTGATACGAGTAGCGCTCGTGTTAAGCGAGTGCTACTCGTATCACATTGTGCTGTGGGCAGAATACGATGTTGCCATCTAGGGACTCAAAATAACTCTAAACATTCAACTGGCATTTACGCCACAAGATAGCAGTGGCAATTGTATTGTACATTTTCCCCTCAACTGGCGCTTATTATAAACGACAAAATTCACTGCATCACTGACCACTGTCTCTATTTAAACATTATTTTGTCTATGGAAAAGTATGTTCTAGCATCAGTTGGAACTTTTCTTGAATAGTGAAGTTAATTTTCTCTGAAACTTTTTCGCATTTAGAGACTGTGT